CTGCTTCGGTGGTGCAATTCTTTTATGAAGATATTATAAGTCGTCATGGTTGTCCTAAGATATTGTTAACAGACCAGGGAACTCATTTTGTTAACCAAATGCTGGATGAACTATGCAGAGTGATGGGAATAAAACATAAATTATCATCGGCATATCATCCACAAACAAATGGATTGGTTGAGAGATTTAATAGGACGCTTTGCGAAGCATTGGCCAAGTATGCGGCTACCTATAAAGAAGATTGGGATATATATTTACCTTCGGTATTATTTGCCTATAGAACAATGATTAATAGTACTACTAGGCATGAACCTTTTTATTTGACTTACGGAAGAGAAGCAATATTTCCAATTGAATTACAAATTCCTACATACCCTACAGAAATTAGTAGTGAAGAACAAAAAGAAGAATTACTATTGAAAAGAGTTTACGAACTCATTGGGAACTTGCCAGATAAAAGAGTTGAAGCAGGAGAAAATATTTCAAGAACACAAGAAAAACAAAAGAAACGGTATGACCAAAAAGTTGTGGAAACAAAATTTTATATTGGAAACAAAGTACTGTTGTACAAAAATTCTGCCAAGAAATTAGAAGAAAAATGGGAAGGACCATTTTACATTCATGATATTGGATTAAATGGGACTTACCAATTAAGGAATCAAGAAGTGAAAGTTTGAAAAAGATTTGTACATGCTAACCAGTTAAAGTCATACCAAGAAAGGCACATGGAAACACAAATATTTGTATAACACAAACAAATTAATACAACAATCAACATTAACAATCAAACTTTATAAATACCACATTGTGAAAATTTACTCTGAAACAAATACATTTAATTCATAAAATTTAAAAATGAGCCAAACACCCACTTATCTTACTCAAACACTTCTAACTCAATTATTACAATTAGCTAAGAAGATGCCTGGAGGAGAAGAATTGATTGTTGCAGATGGAAGGGTTAAAATTAGAAAGGATGGGGAAGAACAATTTTTAGAAGAAACATCACCCAAACCACCCACCGAAGTTGATGAATATTTAGATGAGTTCAGAATAATAAGAACTGATGAAAAAGTATTACCCAAAATAGATGGAGATGAAGATAATCAATTGACAACTATATTGGGTAAATTAAAGGTTACAAGAAATAGTAATGCCTTTGAGTATTATTATCTTTTGGGAAAACTCATTGAAGAATATCCTGCAACTATGAAGAAGAAAATGGAAACACAAATATTTGTATAACACAAACAAATTAATACAACAATCAACATTAACAATCAAACTTTATAAATACCACATTGTGAAAATTTACTCTGAAACAAATACATTTAATTCATAAAATTTAAAAATGAGCCAAACACCCACTTATCTTACTCAAACACTTCTAACTCAATTATTACAATTAGCTAAGAAGATGCCTGGAGGAGAAGAATTGATTGTTGCAGATGGAAGGGTTAAAATTAGAAAGGATGGGGAAGAACAATTTTTAGAAGAAACATCACCCAAACCACCCACCGAAGTTGATGAATATTTAGATGAGTTCAGAATAATAAGAACTGATGAAAAAGTATTACCCAAAATAGATGGAGATGAAGATAATCAATTGACAACTATATTGGGTAAATTAAAGGTTACAAGAAATAGTAATGCCTTTGAGTATTATTATCTTTTGGGAAAACTCATTGAAGAATATCCTGCAACTATGAAGAAGAAAATTCATCAAAAATGTCAGTACAACTACAATAAAAGTGGAAAAATTGTCAGAATGGCAAAGAGAACTGTAATGTTGTTCAATACAATTGGATTATCTTATTTACCCCCACAAAGATTGCGTCTTAGCACCCTTTGGGAAATGATGGATGGAAATTTTGAAAAATTGATGATAGGAATAAGGGCAATTGTGGCTGAATGGTTACAAGCCTCATTGCTCTGGGATGATATATTGAATGATTTGACTTTTCCTGCTTCGCAGGAGCTCAATGCTGGCGCGGAGGTGTTGTCACTGGAATATGAATTGGACCTTAATTCACTGATCAATAACCCCAAGTAATAATCTATATATTATTTATATTATTTACTTTATTTATTTATTATTTTTAGTATTATTTATTTTTAGTTATTTATTTTATCTATCCTCATACAGCAGAGACAATCAATAATAAATTACAAGAGGTTATATTTAAATGGAATCTTAGAAACAAAGCATTCACTTTAACAACTGATAATGGTGCTAATATGGTCAAAGCTGCTAGACTTCTTAATTATGATCTAAATATTATAAGAATACCATGTTTCGCACACACATTACAATTGGTTGTAAATAAGACATTAAAAATTAATATAAATATTCAGGCATTTGTTTTAAGATGCAAAATATTAATTAACTTCTTCACTATTCCTAAACAAAAGAAAATGCAAAAAGAGTTGAGTTATCCAAATATTCATACAGTGACATTTTTCACTTTCTATATTAATATGTTTTTTACCCTTGGTTTGCCTGGGACCTTGTTTCTGGGGCCCTATTCATACATACCTATAGGAAATTTTTTAGATAATTTGCTTTTTTGGCAGATAAATTTAATTGATGATCTGTCTATGAATGAGTGAACTCTAAATAGAGATTGATGGAGGAAAAATGACACAAATTTTACTAATTGATAAAGCTCTGAACAGTTTGGTTCAAACCAAAGAATTTGGCAGTTCCTGGTATTCTAATTTTTGCACTCTGCTTATTTAGAACCAAACCCACTAATTTCTAATCTAATAACAATCAGTGAATGAGTTTTTCTGAGGCACAGACTTAATTACTCAAAGGCATTGTATTTTAGAACCTGAAACAATAAGAGTTTAAAAGTTTGTGGAGATGATGAATTTTATATATAAATTGAAAAAATAGAATGTCCTTGGGATTTCTATTCGAATAAAACGAATAAAACGAATAAACGAATAAAACGAACAAAACGAATGAAACGAATAAAATGAATAATTCGAATAAAACGAATGAAACGAACAAAACGAATCAAACGAATAAAATGAACAAACGAATAAAACAAGTAATTCGAATAAAGCGAATAAAATGAATAGAATGAATAATTCGAATAAGCATTTGTATTACGAATAGGAACTCTAAACATACAAATTTTTGTGGTGAATCTATGAATATGTAACGATCCGACCTATAACCGACCACCTGTATCTAAACATGACATTATGTATAAAATTCAATCATGATCTCCATACCATCGTTACCATGGTATAAAATTATAGATTATGTATGTATTTAGAAACAGGAT